TGTTTTTTTTTTTTTTATGGAGTCTTGTTTTTTATTTGCAACAGTTCTGCTAGAGGTCAGTTGAATGGATTTGTGTATGTACATGCAATTTTCAATGCTTATTTTGCACTGACAGAACTGATAGTTATGAACCTGATAGTTGATAATTTTGGACTACTGCATAAGTATCCTTTGCATGCAATAGTCTATGCCTGATTTACAAGCATGCTCACCTTAATAAATAACTTTAGTGTTGCAACATATAAAAATAAGACGTTGAAGATTTTAAGTTCAGTGGAGATATATATTTATAATTTAACATTGCTTGGTTAGAGACGTGAATTTTGAGCTTATATGTGTGGGAAACAGGAATTTCTGTGATTATATAGTTACGGGTATATAAAACTATGCTATATAAAACTATGCCAAATGATAATATTTGCATAAATATTTATATAAATATGCTATACTTGCATAGATTTTGTAGGGGGTTTCCATCCAACTTAATTTACCATTTCACAATGAGACTAAGTTGAACCAATGGCTAAGTGCTTCCAAAATGGAAAATATACTCCTTTTGAGATCCTCAAGTTGGAGTTTAGTAGTGCAAAGACTATAGTGTTGCCTTTTACATGGAAATCAATATGCATATTAAATGAGTATGGCATTTTTTAAGCTTCAATATAGCCTATATATTTCTAAAGGAACTGTTGTACCATGAACAAATAAGGGCAAAATTGATAATAAGGTGTTTCTTGATCCGTTGAAAAGATTTTTCTTACATTTTTACTAGGAAGTGCTGAGGTATATACTCTGAGGTTAGCATAGGTTTGGCTTTGTCTAATGCTCTGTACTTTTATGCAATTCAGAATAATATGACCACATATAGCCATGACTGTTTAATTATTTTAATATTTTTTTTAGGAGCGGGCATGTAGCAGTTTATTTAAATTTGGTAGAAACTAGCAGGTGAATTAGAGAAATTTGATCTAAATTTACTGTTCACATTATTTTGAACTGAAGCCATAGTAATGGAATAACTTCATAAAATGAAAGATGAGAATTCATGGTGTGGAAGAACAGTTACAGAAAAAGGAAATAAGTGAGTTATATTTCTTCATATGAGGACGTGCATGTAGTATTGAAGCTCATGGTAATTGTTGGTGTATTCCTTTAAGCAGGGTATTTAGCTTGTGATTTTTGAAAGGATCAATCAGTCGCAGCAATTTATATAATAACGTTCTGGTGGGTGATTCTACTATTTTATTTGCACTTTTTGCGTGGCTCACCAGAATGCAATACCTTTGCTCCTTGGTACTCTAAATGTACTCTGTAATATCCATTAAGGTATGGTCAAAGATAATTTATTGTCAGATAGAAAAATAGGTCAACAGTAATGTCAGTTGATGATCAACTCCCCAAGTTTAATAAAACACCTCACCAGCATGCATTCTGCACAGTGCTTGATGTTTTATTAGGACTACAGTACCTTACAGTACCTAGCTATAGCAGGAGTGTAATTACTGAGCTGTCAGGGTGATAAGTGGGATTAATGGCAGTCTGGTGCACTTTAGTCTGCAGAGTGCTCTGGTGTTATTATAGGAGAAAGTCTGGGCTGGCATGTTCATGGCACCCTCCCCGAAGCTCACATGGAAGTTTGTGTTACCTGCCCCCCCAATAGCTGTGACATTTTCAACAGCTGTTATCTGTGAACCAGCTCAAAAATCAGAAGAGAAATAATTTGGTAAAGATGCTTGCTAGCCACAATGGGTAGTCTGTACCCTGCTTACGTGCTTAGGTGCCATTCTAGTCCATTTTGACATGAGATTGTTCCGTATGTAATTCATGGAATTGCATTTTATGTTAAGTGCAATTCTTTTGGTCTTGGAGACAGGACTGTTGTATTTTAAGGGAAACCACATTCAGCAAAGTGAAAAGCAAAATGTCATAATGGAATTGTTGCCTTTTTTTAAACACACGATTTTCCACTTCTGTTATTTCATTACTGCCCACGCAGGCAAAATGATCATCCGAGCCCTTGTAGTGGCTTGTTTTGTCTCTCTTTTTTTCTGGCTTCTAGTACTAAAACTTTGCTGTCTTTCAATCTGCTTGGAATGCTAAGAGCATCTCTTGACTCACTGCTCTGGCCACATCAACCCTTTGAGGTCCCTGCTGGCCTGCCTTTACTTGTTAAGGCATTTATAACACGTGCCTGTCAGTGGGTAGCGCTGGGCAGAGGTATATCCAGCTGCCACAGTTAAACCTGCCAGAGCCCTCTGACACCCTGACTAGTCAAACTAGTAACCCACTAGTCTTGAACCTGGATTTGACTTTATCAGATTTACCAGCTTTTGCACCCTGTGAGACCTGTTTTCTTCTAAATATTTCCTCTGGGACCTTTTCCCCATACCTAGTTCTGTGAGAAAATCTGAACAGCTGCTGCCACATGTGCCTTCACATTTTGCTGGTGCCATAGTGTCTGCAGTACCCAGCTAGATGGTAATGAATAGGAAGATGAAAGACTAATTAATCTTCTACTTAACTGGATTTGCCTTTTCTCTTATTCCATCCTTAATTGAAAAAAAAAATACACACAAAAACCCCCCAACAACAAAACACCCAAAAAGTAATGTGTGTGGTTGACAAAGTTGGGCCAGTGTTTCACTGCAAGTATTTCAGGCATTTCAGTCATTTTAATGTGCCCGTTGTTTCTTTGTGTGTCTAATCCATAGGCCTCTTGCAGCTTTTCTGTCTTAGAAAATATTTGGTGCCACTGAATTTGAAATTGTTGTTACCTGTCCCTAAGTAACAATAATTAAGGTAGACGTCTAGAACTTATGTAAGTAGTTATGTTCAGATAATATGTAAAAAGCAAATTTTATTGCATTTCCCACTGATTGTTGAAACTACAATTTATATAAATTCTGTGTTTAGTAAAACAATATTGAAAGAGCATCTGGAATAATTAATGAATTCTGACATAATTAGTAGTGTGGCATTTCACCTATGATAATAATTGATATGCAAAACCAAAAGCGTGTAAAAATACTTTTGTGTTTAGTAGAGGACCATTTTACTTCTTCAGCTTTTACCTTTTGTTGTTGTTGTTGTTAAATTTGCTTACTGCAAACTGCATAGACTTCACTGAGAACGTAGTCCTTAGATGGGTCTCGTGTAAGCAATGAGAAGGGTACATCCTTGTGGATGACTATGCAGGAGCAGACAATAAATCTTTGCTACTTAGTATGTTTTAATATACAGTTAGGTTTTGTCACTAGGGCTGACAAAAAGGGAGTCTTACGGATTTGAGTTGGGAGTATGCATAAGACTACTCAATTCTTTTCAGGCATATCACAGGAAACTCATAGAGGAGTGACTTGAAAATTTATCAGCCATTCTTATTCTTTGGCGCATACAGTACAAAGTAATTCCATCCTCTGTGGAAATAATGTTGCTTTAGTATGTGTGATTGTCTGATATCCAGATTTTAATCCACAGTGGCACATTCAGAACTTTGTTAATAAATTCAGATATACAGAACAGATGTTTTTCAAATAGAAAAATGAAATGGTCAGAAGTTTAATAAACTTGGATTCTGGGGAAAAAATTACTTCTATGAAATTAGGTATTATATCCTAATACTTAGACATGTGTAGTCCATTTATTTGTAACCACACCCTACTACCTTACTTTGTAAAGTGGAGTCAACAGAACGTGACTGTTGGGTTTGCCTGGCCAGATTTCAGTGGTGGGGGGGCTGTAGTGGTGGCTTCTGCAAGAAGCTGCTTGAAGCTTCCCCTTGGCCTGATAGAGCGAATGCCAGCCAGCTCCAAAGATGGACCCACCGCTGGCCAAAGCTGAGCCCACCAGTAATGATAGGATAGGAACGCCTCTGTGAAAATATATTTGAGAAGTGGGGAAAAAGAGAATTGTGCCACAACTGGCAAAAAGAGAGAGAGTGCAGTGAGAATATGTGAAGACACCAAGATCAGTGAAGAAGGAGGAGAAAGATGTGCTCCGGGTGCTGGAGCAGAGAGTCCCCTGGATCCTGGTGAAGACCATGGTGAGGCAGGCTGTCCCTGCAGTCCATGGAGGTGACGGGGTGTAGATGTCCACCTGTAGCCTGTGGAGGAAAACGCGCTGGCGATGGTGCATGCCTGAAGGGACCTCTGGCCTTGTGGAAGCCCGTGCTGGAGCAGGTTGCTGCCAGAGCCTGTAGCCCATGGAAAGAGAGAAGCCTATGCTTCTCAGGAGGTTGGCTGGTGGGACTTTTGTGACACTGCAGGGGACTCACGCTGGAGCAGTTTCCCCTGAAGGACTGCACCTCATGGAGAGGACTCGCATTGCAGCAGTTTGCCAAGAACTGTCTCTTGTGAGAGGACTCAAGTTGGAGAAGGTATGTGAAGATCATCTCCCATGAGAGGGACCCCACAGTGGCCCAGGGGAAGAGTAAGGAGTCCTCCCCCAGAGGAAGAAGGAGCGGTTGAGACAACATCGGATGAACTGACCGCAACTCCAATTCCCTGTCCCCCTGTGCTGCTTGGGGGAGGAGGTGGATAAATTTGGATTGATGTTAAGCCTGGGAAGAAGGGAAGGGTAGGGGGAAGGTGGTATTTTAAGATCTAATTTTATTTCTCGTTACTCATCTCTGATTTTTGTAGTTAAAAAATTTAACTAATTTCCCCAAAATCGAGTCTGTTTTGCCTGAGATGGTAGCTGCAGGTGATCTCCCTGTCTTTATCTCAAACCATGTGCTCTTTGTTATATTTTCTCCCCTGTCTAGCCGAGAAGCGGGAGTGATGAGCAGCTGGGGGGTAGGCACCTGGCTGCCAGACAGGATCAAACCACTACAGTGACGTATCAGTTTTGAATGCAAGTCAATAATTCTCATGCAACAGAAATTATATGGAAATGCTTTATATTATTCCTTTGTGATTTATCTTCTACCATGCTTGAAATTTTTATTCTATTGGCAGCATTTGTATTCCACATCTCTGACACATTTTCTTTTATTTCTGTAGATGTTTAAAGTGTGCAGATGCCCCCTGTCAGAAGAGTTGTCCAACTAATCTGGACATCAAGTCATTCATCACAAGTATTGCAAACAAGGTAAAATCAGACTTGTGCTATGTGGAAGCAGATAACAGCAGTTGCTTGCAATTCTCTTGCTGAGATTGCATTTCAAGATTTATCTTTATAAAGTCTTAAAAAATGCCCCAGTGTTTAGAGTGGATGCTTTAAAGTTCAATGGTCAGCTAATTTTTAATTATTTTTGCTGCTGTTCTACTCCCATACAGATACTGTCTAGTGCAGATCTATTTCTTCATGTCACTTTTTCTGTAAAGTTTCTTGTTTTGAGGGTTTTCATATATAATGGTATATGTTACAATAATTATTTAACTTTGCTGCTGAAGTCTTACAGTTACAAACCTTTTCTTTCATTAAAGCTTTGGGTTTGTTTGTTTATTTTTAAAGAAGTGATTATAATTTAAATTTGCTTTTGGCAGAAATTTGGCATTTAGGTAGTCATCTCAAGGAATATTTTCTTGTAATTTATATATAGTAAGAGGTTCTGATTAATGCAAATGTAGTCAGAGTAATAAAATACAGAAATAAATTGAACCCTCTCTTTGGAGGTACTGTGCCTTCTCCTTTCTTAATAGGCTATTATACTATAATCATAAGGAACTCTTAAAAGCATTATTCTGATTTGTGGTTTACAAATGACTTCTAACAGTCAGAAGCAGAAATAAATAAAGATGACTGCAAAGTTGATACGACAAGATTAATTAGGCTGCCTGGGATAGCCTAAAGACGACTGGGTATTGATTGCCCCCTACCTTTAAAAACTCACTTCCCATCTGTGGAAACATTAGCTGCTGTGTAATTTGTCTGCATGCGCCCAGCTAGGCTCATAATCTACTGGGGGTGCTGCAAAGATTTGCTGGCTGCATTTTATGCTCTGCCATGTCTCACTGTTAGATGCAGCTGGACGGGCCAACCCAGGTAAAGGTGGAGTGATATGGGCAGCAGCAGCACTGCCGTGTTTTTTCAGCCACATTGTGTGTTGTGCGGAGAAGACATGGGTTAATTCTGTACCTTAACAAGAAGCATTAGGGTAGGAGGAGGTATTAAGATACATGTATCAATTACAACATAACTATGTGTCGATGTGGTTTACAGTGACTGGCATTATGCCCAGCATCTGCGTATCGGCAGTTTTCTTATATGGTCTGTACCCTGTTGCCGCAGCATTTATTTTCATGAACGTGGGCATCTGTTTGCAACCACAGTATAGCACGTGACATATTGCTGCTTATTACCTCTTGCAGGCATTGTGAAGCAGCCAAACTGAATGGAGAAGGTACAAGGCAGCAATGAAGCTGCCGGTTCCTGTCTCATCACCATGTTGTAGTTTGTTTAGGAAACCTAAAGCAAATTTTATGCAAGTATTTTACTAGGACGGTCTTTTCTTATTAAGGATTAGTTACCCCTATTTATCAATACCTTCTGTATCCATCTAAAACTAGTTTTTATAAAAGGTATTCAACATTTTTGTAACTGCTTTCACCTCATGTTTATGCCTGATAATTGCATAGACAGCAGGCAACATTCTCACAGAGGTAGTTTTAAAAAGTCAGTTAGCCGGTTTCTACTAGCTGTGGTGTTAGAACAGGACACTGCATGTGTAATATTGGTGCTGCTTCTGTGAAATCCAGTTCCAAGTGTGAGAGTGTACATATAGTCTTACCTTTTGCTTTCTCTCCTTACCCTGTTGGAAGAAATCTAGTATAGCACAGTTGTGGAAGCATTTCTTTGCAACTGCTCTAATGCTGACTTTAAAAACAAATAGAAAACCAAAACAAAGAAACAAATCCCCAAAACTAGAAGTGAGGAATAACCCAAGCTGAAAAGCTTAACAAATAGCTGAAGTCATGGGCTGAGAAACAAGGCTAGAAGTCCTGCATGTGTGTGGCCTCTGTGTCAATTGCTGTGCCTCCTGTAACTCATGTACCAAGCAACTTCTCCAGGAGATAAACAGGGCGTAGAGAGAGCCCAACCTTGACTTGATGGCTGCACTCTGCTAGGCTGAAATTTCCTTTTGATGAATTAGTTTCTGGTGCCTTTGCTAAAAAATATTTCTGTTATCACAAAACCTCTTTTTCAGAAAAAGTAACAGTAAATTCTTCTGGTTTCCTTTATTCGGATTTTTTTTTTCTAGGTGTAGACATGTGCTACTGCACTTTGAAACTCCTTACTTTGTGCCAAGCAAGCAATAGATTAAGGTGGAAGTTGAGAGAGGCACCAAGAGTTGAAATGATTCCCCTGAAGTCATGACCCTGGCAGAGTGTGTGTGAGAGCCTACTGCCAGGGCTGCTCCAGCAGTGTCCTCCCCCGTCTTGTTCTGTTGCTGTGTTGATTCGTGTACCATATGCTTTTAAAGCAGGTAGAAAACGAGAACAGTGTGCTTTTGAAAACCACACTAAAACTTCTAACTTATCATTTGGATACCATTCAGCAATCTGCTCCTGAATATTTTTGTATTATTATCATAAAAATATTACTTTACAATGATGCTGTTTTCACCCTCTAAATAAGCTTTTCTTTTATAATTCAGAAACTTGTAAATACATCTAGTAGCTTCCAGACAAAATAAATAGGTGCAGCACAGAACATTCAAGTACTTGAGGTCAATAAATCCAGGAAACTCAGGTTCAGTTTCTAGGCTTATTGAAATCCCTGCCCTGCTTCTCAGTCTTTCTTCATCACTGAAAGATGCTTCAGCATGTTACTCTTCTACTTGTTTAGGGGAGCTTTGGTTCCATAAACTCCTTGTCCTCATCCCTGTGTAAGCAGTCTTGCACACAGGTATTTATTTAAACATGATTCATTATTAATATGGAGTATTTAGACAGCAGTGTACTGAAAATGAGTTACTTCGTCAGGTATTTATGAGCTCTATTGTATGTAGTTTGTTTTGTTGGAAAACTGCTATAGCGATCATAAAAGGTCAGGGATTCTTGCTCTCTTAAGCCTGAGGCTTTTTAGATATTTACAGGCTATGTACAATGTAGCTGCTCTGGCTGTTCTGCCATTAGACCTGAGCTCAGGAGTAGGAGAGGGACGGGGAGGAGAGGCTGTTTCTGGGTTAAGAGGGTAATTGAATTGCCAGACTCAATGAGCCTTGAGCCTCTTTGAGAAAAAGGATGTCACTTACGCTGTATTGTGTTAGCTGCTGTGACTCACTAGAGTTTAGGCCGCAACTTCCATTCTCTTTTTCCATACAAACTGGATTACAACTCCACTTTATAAAGGTACAATCTATTCTATTGTGTCTTCCCAGTCAGTGTTTCTCCGTTCATACAGACCGTTTGCAATTGTGTCTCTCGGAGACCAGACTTCAAATTCACCATGCACACATTACTACTTTTGTTTCTAAACGTCAGAAGATGGCAAACAAGTGTTCTGACTTCCATCTGTCCTCTCTTTAAATGCAGCCTTCACATTGCAAAGTGTGCATTCTTTGTTTTATAATGCACAACTACCATCTTAGTTCTTTGTTTATAAAGAAAAAACACTAAGAAAAAACGTATTCAGCTGCTGCAAGAGAAAACTTTACTCCCCCCATCCCAGAACGAGTACCAGCAGTGATTTCAGGATTTTATGTTCTCCATTCCCTGTGCTGTAATATCAAAGCAAAAAGGACCTGGTAAAATGGAGCTCCAGCACCTGTCATCCTTTAGGGCTGGCACAAGCAAATATTGTACAGCAGCAGAAAATCCTACAGCTTCCCAGGAGCAACTCTCAGCCTGAGTGCTGGCAGCCTGTCCAGCTTTCCTCATGTTGAGCAGAAGTGTGTGGCAGAGGAAGCTGCACAGTAGAAAGCAACAGCTACTCAAATGCCCTACCTTTGTACTGTTCAGTGAGACAGTCTTGGAGCTTTTTGTTATCAGACACCTTTACAGTTGAGTAGTCGTGTTGGAAAACAACTGTTGGTGCAGTTTAGGCTTGGGGATATTAAGTTGTGTTACATGGCACAGGTGTAGGGAGTGCGTGACTCAGCCTTTGTAGTCTGAGTCTATAATGAGAAATTGGGGGTGCAGAAGTATCTTCTGTGTTATCAGTACTGAAAAATCACAGTTTGTCACTGCAGCCCTCTGTTACTAACACTCTCGTTTTTATCTCGAATCTTGCAGTATTACAGTGATTCCTGACACTGAGTCAACAGTTTTCTTCTTATTTAGAAAGACCATCTTCTCCCATATCCCTTAATAATAAAAAGGTTTGAGCTGACATGTCAACTCTTTTCTAACAGACTTTATAGGTGTATGTAAGCCTTCTGGTGGCCAGCATTGAAAATAACCCAAAATAAAACAAATCAAGCAAACCCACCAGAAAACAAAACAAAAAAATCCAAAGCCCAAAACACAGAAAGCCAGGCTGCCCTCTGGGAAAAAGGTTTTTCCTGGATAGTACAGAATACTGGTAGGGAAGAGTGGGGCAGAGAAATGAATGTCAAGAACACTACAGAGAAAGTTGAGAAACACAGGAGTAAGTTTTAGGATTTCAGAAGACTGTTTAGGTTTAAATGAAACTAAAAGAAATGTCTGTGTTTGTTTCAAGAGAGAAATTTATTTTTTCAAGGGAGAAGTGGGAGGGGGAGAAAACTGGAAGATGGAAGTGGATACCAAGGGGCAAGGGTGAATCTGAAGTTTGGGAGATTAAGGGAGTACAGGAAAAAGTGTTTGTGGTAATATACTGGAAATGAGAAACAAGGAAAAGTGGGTAGACAAAGGAAGGCAAGAGACAAAAACCTGTGGGATCTTCAAGAGAAAATGAAATGAAGAAAAGATTGTAAAGAGGAAAAGATGGTGAGAGACACAGGATTATGACAGGTGAGAATAACAGAATGATGTTTTTTCTGTGCCAGAGGAACTCTGAGTAAATTAACAAAGGACATGTATATGCCATTGCAAAGATTGTAGGAAATCATGAGTCACAGTACATATGTAAAATACTGTAAGTGGGATACTGTTAATACAATGAAGGATTGTGGAAGTCAGAAAGCTGCTAGATGATTGGTAATAATTATATACAGATATGCATCA